GGCCGCGACCACCTCTACCACCCTCAAATCACCACCTTGTCCAAGTACGCGCCCCTCCCCCATGTCCCCCTCTTGCTCTCTTGTTCCGCGCCATCCGCGGCGCAGCCCCGCCATCCCTAACCCGAGGACGCCTCCGAGAACCCCCCCGGGGTCATCGCTGGCACCTCGCCGAGATTTAATATTTCCAGGGGGGCCGTTTTCGCAGAATATCTTTAGCGCCTCGCGCAAATCATAAAATAAGTTCCGCGGCGCGTCGCGCGCCGCGCGACGCGCGAGAAGAAATCCTCGGGGATGCCTTTTGGATATGCCGTGCATTCCTTGGACATGTTACGGGCCAGCACAGGTTTGGAAGTGCTCGGCAGGGCTCAGCAGCGCTCAGCAGGGGCCAGCAAGGCTCGGCATGGGCTTAGCAGGGCGCGGCAGGGATCAGCAGGGGGCGAGCCTGGCTTATCATTGCATAGCAGGGCTTAGCGGGAGCTAAGCAGGGCTCAGCAAGGCCCAGCATGGCCCCGAGCGCTCTCTGCGGGTTCCTCCGGCGCCGAGGTGGCGCTTCCAGGGTGCCGGATGCGTTACACTTTCACCGGATGAGGGGTGCGGGTGGTGTGGGGGGGTTCTCGAGTGCTTCCCGGGGTTATCCTGCTCAACGCCCCCTTGCTATCCCCGCCGGTGCTCAGCCCCACCCCCCCCTTAAACCTCGGCCTCCACGTCCCCGTGCACGCCCGCGTCGTCGCCGCCCCCCTCCTGCTGCCCCCCCTCCTCGTCATTCATCTTCACCTCCTCCACCTCCCCGGCGTCGTCTTCCGCCCCCTCCTGCCGGCGCGCGTGGGGGGGCCCGCGGGGGCTAGGGCGGCGCGGGCCGTCAAATCGAGCGCAGCCCGCTCCAGGGACGCCGGGGCGGCGGCATCCTAGCAGCCCCGCCGGACAAGGCGCCAGTCCGACGCGTAGTGGCGGGGCAGGACTTGAAAGCATCGGCCGGCCCTGGTCGACGCCGGCGCCGTCGCAGGCGTCGCGCTTTGCGTCGGCGCTGGAGTCGCCGGCCTCGCTGACGATAACATTGACGCTGGCGTCGTCGCGGCGCGTCAGTCCAGCGCGGTGGCCAGACGCAAGACCCGCGGTCGGGGGGCCGCCGGTGCTTCCGTCGACGCCGGCGTCAGCGCCGACGACGCAGGCGTCGACGCCTGCGTCGATGGGGGCGTCGTTGCCGGCAACGACGCTGGTTGTTTGGTTGTATATGTGCGGATTGTGCTGGCGTCGCGGCAGGCGTGGGCGTTGACGCCAATGCTGGAATCCGCGCTGAGTCACCGACGAAGTCGGGGTCGATGCTGGAAGAGCTGGAAGGCGTGCTGGTGTCAGCGCTGGCAACGATGCTGGAGGGCGCGGTGTGGTCGGCACAAAAACCGATGCAAGCGTGGATGCTGAAATCCATTTAGGCGTCTTTTTTGGCGTAGGTGCTTCATGTTTTGGTGGCGTCGGTGCTGACGTCGACGTCGGCGCCAGTGCTGGCGGCGCTGAAAGCGTAGGTATTGGCGTCGGTTTGGGCGGCTGCGCTGGTAGTGGTGCTGACCTCGGTGCTGGCGTCGCTGCATGCGCCGATGCTTGGGTCGCTGCTGGAGGCTGTGCCGACGTCGATGTGAGAGAGAGCGTGATCCACCGCCGCTTTACTGTGGAAAATTGCCAACCTTTTCCTCCGGAACCCGGGGTCTCCCCCCCCCCCCCCTCCGAAAATCCCCCCCCTGCCGGAACCCCCCCCCCCCCCCCCCCCCCCCCCCCTCCCCCCCCCTGCCGAAAACCCTCCCCCCCCCCCCCCCCTCCCCCCCCCCCCCCCCCCTCCCCCCCGATCCGAAAACCGGGGGGGGTCACTACCGGTTGGAAACCCCCCCCCCCCCCCCGAAAACCGGAGGGGGGTCACTACCGGTTCGACCCCCCCCCCCCACGCACCGCCAGCAAACGACTCCCGGTCCCTACCACCGCTCGCATCACATCCCCCACTGTTGTTCCCAGCACCACTGTCCTCACCACCACTGTCCCCACTGGTTCCACCACCGTCCCTATTGTCCCCACCAATGCCCCCACCACTGTCGCACTGTCCCCACTGTTCCCACAACTGTTCCCACCACGGTTCCACTCTCCCCACTGTCTCCACGGACCCAACCACTGCCTATCCCCATTGTCCCCACTGTCCCACTGACTCCTCCGCTGTCCCACTGAGCTGTCCCACTGTTTCCACCACTGTCCCCACTGTCCCCACCACTGTCCCCACTGTACCTCTGTCCCATTGTCCCACCGCCGTCCTCGCCACCGCCTTTACCAGTGTCTCCACCACCATTGTACCCTCCACTGTCCCAGTGTTTCCACCTCATTCCCACTGTCCCCACACCACTGTCCCCACCACCACCGTTCCCACCACTGTCCACTGTCCCCCCTGTTCCCACCATTGTCCCCACCACTGTCCCCACCACTACCGTCCCCACCACTGTCCCACTGTCCCCCCACTGTCCCCACCACTGTCCCGCTGTCCCCTCACCACTGTCCCCACCAACACCGTCCCCACCACTGTCCGCACCCCCACTCGGTTTTCGAGGGGGGGGGGGGGGTTCGAACCGGTAGTGACCCCCCCCCTTTTCATGATGAGCTGGGGGGGGGGGGGAGGGGTTCGAACCGGTAGTGACCCCCCCCGGTTTTCCGGAGGGGGGGGGGAGGGGGGGAGGGGTTCGAACCGGTAGTGACCCCCCCCGGTTTTCCGCCAGCAGCGGTAGAACACGCTCTTTCCGATGTGAGAGTCGATGCTGGCGTCGCTGCGGACACGCGTTGGCATCGATGCTTAGAAATGTGCTAACGTCGGTTGTCAAGTCGCTGGAGACGTCAATGCTGGCGCAGCTGTCATCGTCGATGTTGGCGTGGGTGCAAGGAGGTGCCCAGGTGTCGGCGCTACCGTCGATGCAGTCGGCGAGGCAGGCGTCGTTTTAGGCGTCGGTGCTGGCTTCGTCGATTGAAATTGTGCCAGGTACGGTGCTGGAGTCGATGCAGGCGCCGCTGGCGGCGTCGTCACGGTCGTCGTATTCGGCGACGGTGCTGTATGCGATGATGTTGCCAATGATGTCGCCGCAGGAGTCCCTGTGGAACGTCGCGCAGAAATGCGGCCGAACTCGGGAGCCCCGGTCGGGGAACCGTGGATGGCGGCGTCGATGCCAGCGCCCATGCCGACGTCGGCGCAGGCGTCGACGCGATCGTAGCCGAAGGCGACGGTGATCGCGTCGATGCTGAAGGTTTTGCTGGCGTCGGTGCTGCCGTCGATGAAGGAGTCGATGCTGTCGCCGCTGCAAGCAAAACTATCTGGAAAGCTGTGCGGGTGCTGGTGGTGGCGCCAGAAAATGCGTCGATGTTGGCTTAGCTGCAGGCGTTTGTGTCGGTTCCGATACAAGAGGCTGTGCTGGTGTCGGTGTTGACAAGGGTTCGGGCGTCGATGTTGGCGTGGAATCTGGCACCGGGCACCGGTGCTGGAACCATCGCCGCCGCCGCCGCCGCCCCGGCCGCAGCCGCCACCGCCGTGCAGTGCTCGGTCCATCCACAATTCAGTCTTCCACGGCATTGAGGTTGCCATCAAAGATAAGGGCGTTCAGGATGCCGTCTGCCATCAGGCACTTCGTGATGCCAGCATTGGCGGTGCGTCGCGCAAGTCGCTGGGTGCCAGAGCGTAGGACCCCACCTCAGCGACATGTTTGTCGGATGTTGCCTCCTTGTCTCGCCGTTCTCCCCGATCACGGTGATAGCAGCCCTTCTCCGCGGCATTGGCGTGGACGCTATTGGTGACGATGGTAAGGTCACTGGCCCCGATGTTCCCCTTCCTTGCTGCATAAGCCAGGCGTCGCAATGCGGCGCGACTGCGCCTCGGCATTATTCCCGAAAAGATCTCTGTAGCCATAGCCTTCGTGTCGAGGCTGGTCGACGCCATCGCCTGCGCAGCGCGCCGCACGTGCACGGGCCACATCCCGCCATTGCTTTGCAGGTAGTGGCTTGAGCCAAACTGGCTACGGACCTCCTCCTCGCCCTCCTCCTCCTCCTCCTCCTCCTCCTCCTCCTCCTCGTACGTCTCGTTCCTGATAGTCCCGAGCAGACTTTCCCCAATTGTTCCCCGAAGAGTTTCCAGAACAGCTGAGGGAAACCATACTCCGATAGCTTGGCCAATCTGGGGCGAACGTTTGCCCAGAGAAGTGTTTTCTGGCAAGATGGACTTTCGCGAATCCTTCCCACACTGGCCCACAACATGTTTGACAATGGTTGATGTCTCGCGCTCGCCCCTTCAGGATGGTTCAAGACGGCCCAAAAAAGCTCCCAAGATCTCCACAAGACGGCCCGAAGAGGTCTCCAAGCGAGCCTCCAAAAAGGCCCCCAATGGCCAAACTAATTGATCGGCTCCCCCAAGAATTCCCCGAAGGGCTTCCACAACGGCTGGGGGGACACATAGTCCGATAGCTTGGCCGAGCTCTGGCCACAACTTTGGCCAGCTAGGCGTGTCCTGACAGACAGGTGGCGGCGGTGGTTCGCCGCAGGCATCTTCGATGTCTCTGTATGCAAGACACTGCGAATACAAATTGGGTATGAACGGAAAGGGTGATACAACAAGAACAAGTATGCAATTACCGACGGCTCCCTCTCATGGTTATGCTCCCGTTTGCCTTACCATGGCCATCCGTACTCGTTCATGCCCCTCCTCAGCTATTACCCCCTGCCGATGTCACATCGCATTGCCCGACCCTTGTGAACAAATCCCCCCCGTGCTGCCCCGTACTGATACCCTGGTCTGATGTTCCTTCCTGCTTCGGCCGACGGTCCTGGAGGAAATTGGAAAAGCAATAGAAACATGACGAAATGGTGAGGCAGGAAGACGAAGCATAGGCGGGGGCAGAAGCGACAAATAGGAGGATACGAGACGAACGTGATGTCCGCCGACTCATAAGAACACCGCGGATGCTTTTACACTTTTCCAGTACCCGTGCGACCAGAGCGTGTCCGCGTCGGCGGGAAGCGAGCTCTTCACCTGGCAGCACAGCAGAGAGAAGCAAAGGCAGATCCGCATGGGCGGAGTCTCTCTCCAGGAGGAAAGGGGCAAAGTACAGGCAGACTCGGCAGCAAGGGCAAGTATCAGGACGGTTGCCGGAGGATGCGGAGGCCTCTTGCAAAGGATGCAAGGGTGCCAGACGAAACCCAACACATACAACTCCTGCTTGGTTTCGACTGTGAACCACAATCAAGAAGCAACAGAGGCACGATGCCAGCCACGAGGGCGAGGTGCGTGACTTCAGGGGAGGTGCGCGAGCACGGCGCGCCTGGCGGCAGCGTGACAGTCAAGGAGCTGCATTCCAGACGGTCCCCCTCTTCTGGGCGAGCCTCACCCGACTAATCCGCATACTCGTCCTCTGCCTTCTCCTGCTCACTCCGAAGCCTCCAGGGAGGTCTCCTGACGCTTCCCGGAGCTTCAGAAACCTCCGAGGCCTCCTGAGACCTCCTCCTGGACATTCCCCAGTACTCCAACGGACTCCTGAAGCCACATGATAGAGGGCAGAACATCCGCCCTCACAATAATCACCCCGACACGCGAAGCCGTTTAGTAAATGCACCCAGAAGGGATCGAACAGGGCAGGGCTGTTTAGTAAACGCCCACGGCCGATTAGTAAACGCCATTTCTCTGGTCCTGGTGGATTTCCCCTCTTGACATGAGGCCTCCTGGACTTCCAATTCATGCTGCCAGACTGCTCTACTAATCGCGGCGACTTCCATCGCTCGAGCCTTCGGGCGTCCTCGCAGATCGCGCCACCGACAGACAAACCAATTTGCGCGGAGGTGCGAATCGCCCGGCGCGCGTCCCGAAAGCGTGGCGCCGCAAAGAAAAACGTTTTGACCCACGGCCCTTGCATGCTGCAACCTGGAGGGGTCATCAGCCATGCGCACTAGTGTCGGGTACATGGGGATGTGTCGGAGTGTACATCGTGAACTGCGGAACAGAGGTGGCGATATTGATAATCATGGTGCCGCGGCCCACTACCTTGGCCTCACGGCGTCGTTCAAGCTGTGCCCTGGAAGACTTCAGACGATGCCCAGGGGACTGGATTGCTGAGCGGCGAGTCCCTCTACCAGGACTGGTGAGCCCGAGTGCACTTCCAGCTCCATCATAGTCAGCGCCGCCGATGACGCCGTCGCCGTGGTGGCCGTCGTCTGTGCGATCGTGGTCGTGGTCTTCGTCGCCATTGTCGCCATCGTCGTCGTCGTTGTCGTCGTCACGGCCGCGGTCGTCGCTGTCGTCGTCGTCGCTCTTGGGCTAGCGAGCGCGGTCGCCTCGGCGTAGACGTCCATGATGATAGCAATCAACATGTTGAGCATGATGAGGTTCACCTGCCCGCCCAGGCGCCATCGATCGAGCGGGCGCGCAGCTTCAGCCAAGCTGGGGCTCCAACCCCGTTGGCTCGCCGGACAAGGGACGATGCGGGAAGGACTGGCCCAGGGGGGTGGTGGGCAAGCGCCAATCTGGAATCGACGACACGCCACCGACGGCGCAGCCAAGGGCCTCTGATGGCGCAGCCGCGCGCGTTCCTGGGCGGGGCGGGCCGCCACGTCCCTGTCGGCGACCAGTGGGCGATTGGGGCTCGATGCTCTCCCCCCTGAGTCTCTTCCCTGAGAGGGAGAAGACAATGCGGACAATGCCGAGTAGGCTCAAGCGAGTCGCGAGCACTGAAGGAGAGGGAGAAGGAGGAGGAGGAGGAGGAGGAAGAGGAGGAAGGGAGGAGGACGAAAACAGCGACGGCGACGACCCCCTCCTCCCCGCAACCCCCTCGTTGGCGCGGGCGCCATTCTCCTCGCGCCCCTGCGGATGACCACCCCCCCCCTGCACTCCAGGGCGACGCAGGAGGGCGCCCCCCCCCCCCCTGGCGAGGGCGGAGGCTCGCCAGCAACATGAAGGTCACGAACCAGATCCACGCCTCGAGTCTGCCGATGCGCCTCAGGGGGGGGCGGGAGGCCGGGAGGGAGGAGCGGGCGAGGGAGGGACGGAGCGTATCCCCCCTCTCCTCGCCTCCCTCTCTTCCTCTGCCCCCGCCCGCACTGCCTGCGCCTCCTGGCTGGGCCTAAACTGTCATGCGGCCTGGCCTCCACTTCAGGGATGGTGGTGATCGACTCTGTGCCCGAAAATCTGTCCGTGTGACTGCAAGCATCGCCCAAGTGATTCCGAAAGCGCCAGGGTGTGACCGGAAATCTTGGGTCGAAGCAGAGGCGAATTCCAATGTCTGCCACACTTTCGGTCACAATACGTTGTCCGCCACTTTTTCGGGCACGTGTTTGGTCACCGAATGTTTTCGGTCACATACCTTTTCGGGGCCGGGCGACATACTGAGCAGGGACTAACCCTCCCGGCATTCCTACAGGCCTAGCACGAAATTCCCTCATAACCAAACAATCAGACACCAACCAAACACATGGAAGATCCTAACACCGACGTGCTAAAGCAATACGGTCTCAGCCAGAAGTGTGCGAACAACAGTTCGTACAGATCCACCGAACCCTTGGGGGCATCGGCGTGTAAGATGCTTCCCCTCCCCAAACCCCTCCCCCCGGGGCCTGGGCTGGTCGGTTTGGAGGGGGGGGGGGTATGGCCGGCCCCGGCGGAACGCACCACGGGCCTCACGGCGGGCCAGGAGGACCCCAAGAGGCTCACAAGATAGTCCAAGAGGGGCCCGAGCCGCCGATGCATCGTTCCAAGACGCCCAGGATGCCCCCAGACGGCCCAAGACGCCCCCGAGACACCCCAAGAGGCCCCCAAGAGGCGTCCCAAGAGGGCCCGCAGAAACAAAACTCGCTTCAGTGCCTCAGGGAAACGTCTGATTTTAGCACATACGCCTCTTGGGCTTTCACAACGTCCAAGACGGCCCAAGAGGTCTCAGAGTCGCCCCAAGACGGCCCAGGAAACCCCCAAGAAGGCTCCAAGACGGCCCAAGAGGGCCCCAAGACGGCCCACGAGGCCCCCAAGACGGGTCCAGGAGGGGGCCCAGACCCCAGACCTAAGAAGCCTCCAGGAGGCCTCAAGAGGCCCCCAAGAAGCCCCCCAGAGGCTCCAAGAGGCCCACCAAAGGCCAAACAGAGGCCCCAAGAGGCCCCAAAACAGCCCCCCAAAGGCTTCAAACTAAAGTGCTGCCAGGAGGACCTTGAGAGACCTACCAGGAGCCCCCCAAGGGGTCGGCGGTGCGGCGTAAGCCAAGAATCATACAAGGTTCATAGACATTGTTTGGTGGGCCTGTAGGCAAGCCAGGACGCCACGCCACTGCTTGACCATGAAAGCTGCGAAGCTCCGATCGTGTTCCTCCTTCTGCCGGGGGATCGGCTCCTCATCGAACGAGTCGCAGACGCGCCGCAGGTCGTCCATGAAAAGGAGGAGGAGGAGGAGGAGGGGGAGGAGGAGGAGAAGGAGAAGGAGAAGGAGGAGGAGGAGGAGTTCTGAAAAAAAGGAGAAACAAAGATGGAAGAGGTGAAGAGGAGGAGGAGGGGGAGAAGAAGAAGGAGGACATGCAGAAATGCTGCCCTGCCCGCCGCTGCTGCTCTCCATTCTCTGGCCCCTCCGTGTCCTTGCCCAGTCGGCCGCCTCCCACAACAACTCTGCAATGCCGTTTTCATACGATCGGCCGACAGACCGAGGAGCCGGATGAGGAGAGGGGGGGAAGGTTGAAGAGGACGAGGGCTGGGGATGAGGAGGCAGGAGGTCGAAGCAGAATAAGATGGGGGACCGTCTGGAGCCTGGGTGACCTGCGCGCCCCTGACCCCACGGAATATCCGACCTGGCCCGAGGCCACATTGCAAGGAGGGGGGACGAGGTGATGGTAGTGGTGGAGCGACGCCCCCAGGAAGAAAAACGGCATGACCAGACCTCTCGGAGGTCCGCGCGGATGTCTTGCAGCGGCGGCTGGACACCCCTGGCGCGCGGAGGCGCAGCCAGGGGGCCCAGCGCCGATCCAAGAAACCCGTGCGGACCTCAGAGAGAATACAGTAGGGGCCAATCCGCAAGGAACCTTCCCCAAGAAACCCAACCCTGAGACCCCAGGACGTCCATTGATTTTTGGCGTGGCAACGTCACGCTTTCCATAGCAAAACCATCGAAATCCAAGAAACCAAGGGCACCCTGGAGGCAAGCAGAGTGTTTCTTGGCATGGGCCCCCACTGTATGTCCGTGTCGTGCTTTGCCCTCCGAAAATCGGAAGCATGCGGCGGGGGTGCTGCTGCCTGGGCCCCTAACCCGCTCCGGGTTGCCCGCGGAGGCTCGCGCGCTCATCCCGAGCACACATCGGGCGCCACCTCGGCGGGGCATCCCGCTCTGCAAAAAACGGCGCGTGCCGGTCGGGCGGGCGGAGGGCTGCCTGGCTCCCCCGGACAGCATCACTGCCAGCCACAGCCCAGCAGCGACAACGAAAGGAGAACGGCCTATGGGGAGGAGGAGGGGGGGAGAGAGAATCATGTCTGCTCTCTATCCGCGGACGCGTGTCATGGCCGACCTGAACTTTCAGAAACGTGCCATGTGCGATCGGAAAAGGAGAGCTGTGTACGTAGGAGGTGGTGGGCGGGCAGGAAGATGGGCAGGAGAAAAAGGAGGATGCAGCGAGTGGATGAGAACGAACAGCAGCAGCAGCAGGAATTGGAGCCGAAGGAACGTGAGGAGCAGGAATGCCAGGGGAAGGCGCACGAGGGATCATGAGGGGGGCGGCAGCGACGGAAGAAGGCTCGGGTGCAGAGCAGTTGTCCGCGCTGAGGCGAGATCGCCATTCTGAACGACGGGAGCACCGCGCCGATCCAAGAACGAGGCCCACGCTGCAGCGGGAACACCATTCCAAGCACAAAATACAATCGGAGTGCAGCACCATTTCAGAAAACCGACCTTTTGAAATCCTGTGCAGGGCAATACACGGAGATGGCGGAACATCTTCCACACATAATCAGGGGGACGAGGAAAGTCGTATTCGTAATCTATAGTTGTGGACGGATGATGAGGACGAGCTAGAGGAGGAGAAGGACGCGGAGGCGGCGGAGGAGGAGAGGAGGATGAGGACGATGGCCCAGTACAGTCCCTCGATGACTCGACCTTTGTTCCAATTTCCCGCCCCTGGACTCCTTGACTCAGGACTGCTGTTTCACAATATACGGCCCTAAAATTACGAAACGGCAAAGCACTCTGGCGCGATGTGATCCAGCCTCCGGATATCCGGGGAGGAATGAGCACCGCTTAACCGATCCGCGTCCCCGTAGGTGGGGAGATATGCGGTTCCCATCGGGCTTCGCGGGACACATATCCACCTGGGGTGGCTGGGCGAACGGGGCCGAACCACACTGGCCCAGTGGGAAGGGAGATCGGTTCGACGACGATGAAGGAAGATAGAGGAACAACAACAACAACAACAACAACAACAACAACAACAACAACAACAACAACAACAACAACAACAACAACAACAACAACAACAACTACAACAACAACAACACCAACAACAACACCACCACCACCACCAACAACAACAACAACAACAACAACAACAACAAGTGCATGAACATAAACTTTCGGCGCTCCGCGCGGATTTCTTGGATCTGCGCTGGACCACCCTCCCTGGCGCGCGGAGCGCGCCAGGGGTGGCACCCGAGGCGCCGCCAGGGGCACCCAGCGCAGATCGCCGAGAGATCATGCTTGTGCTGCTGTATGTCCTTCGGACTAACGCAGGGACCGGCATGAGGGGGAGAGGCATCGACCTGGAATCGGCGATACGTCGCCGAGAGATCGGCGCTGGACCCCCAATTGCTCCTCTGCGCCTTCCTGGGCAGGTTGGGGCCACCGGGCCCCGATCGGCAATCAACGGGCGACTGGGGGTCGATACATCCCTCCGATGCCGATCCACCCCTGTCGTTAGGTCGGGCATGTCCTCCTACAGGGGGATGTCCGAAAATACCGAAAGTAGTAAAAAATAACCCCTGACTACATTTTGACTATTTACGAATATTCCTCCTGTAGAGGGACAGGCCCGACTTAACCCTATCGTTGCTCCTGAGAGGAGGGCCTCATCTCTTCCCAGTCGAAGTCGCCCATCACGATCTTGAAGGTCGCGTCGAGGGCCCGCTCCGTGGTGGAGAACATCAGGAGCTCCTGCCAAGGGGCGCCCTGGTCTCTTCCTCGACGTCCCCCCTTCTCCTCCTCCCCCTGCTCGTTCCTCCTTCCCCTCGTCCGCTCCCCGCTCCTCTCTCATCCCCCTCCTCGCCCTCCCCCCCTCCTACCCCCTATCCTCCTCCCCGTCCTCCCACCTCTGCCTCCACCTCTCCTCATCCGCTCCTCGTTTTCCTTTTCCTCTCGCTCCACCCTCGTCGTCCCGTTCTTCCTCCTGAAGTTCGGACCCGCCGCCCCCAACCGACAACCAAAACTGTCTTGGTCGGAGACAGTCGTGAGGTTGGTGGGGAGGGGTATGGTTCATTGTATCATAGAGGGCACACGGTTACTAGAAGGCGCCCCCTGCCTCCGCAAACGCTCACCCCGCAGGAGCTCTCCTGCCCAAACAGCAGCATGCCCGAGATCGTGTAAATGAGGAACACGGTGAAGAACACCACCGCGAAGTGGAAGATGTCCACGGAAGCCTCAACGACGACGGCGGCGACGGCGAGGACGGTGCGAGGGCGACGGCAAGACATCGGCGAGGGCCACGACGTTGAACAGCGACGCCGGCGGCGACGAGATGACGGCGGCAATATTGAATGCGAAAATGAATCGGACGCCGATGGCGACGACGACGGCGACGCAGATGACGTCGATGTGAAGACTGCGCGACCGCGGCGCTGGTCACGACGACGACGCCGACGGCGGCACAAAGATGGCGACGACGAAGCCGGCGGCAAAATACGTCGACGGCGACGACGAAGGGCCACGACGTCAACGACGCCTACGCCGACTCGCAACAACGACACCGCGACCACGGCCGCGCCGCCGCCGACAGCAACGGCGAGGACGACGGCGCTGGCAGCGGCGCCGAGGTTGACGCTGTCCGCCGACGGCGGTGTCGGCTGATCCTAGCCGCGCTCATCCGAGACCCTGGCGCCGGCGCCGCCGACGCCGACGGTGCCGACGCCGATTGCTGCGACAACGACAGCGACGCGACCTCGGCGCCGAGACGAGCACCGCCTGCCGACGGCGGCGATCGCCGACGGCAACTGCAGCATCCAGGCGGACGAGGAAGAGGGGAAAGGAGGAAGAGGAGGAAGAGGAGGAAGAGGAGGAGGAGGAGGAGGAGGAGGAGGAGGAGGGATGGGGGAGGAGGATGGGATGGAGGAGGGGGGGGGAGGAGGAGAAGCAGGAGGAGGAGGAGGAGGAGGAGGAGGAGGAGGAGCAGGAGGAGGGAGGAGGAGGAGAGGAGAAGGGAGGAGGAGGAGGAGGAGGAGAAGAGAAGCAGGAGGAGGGGGAGGAAAAGGGGAGGAGAGGAGGAGGAGGAGGAGGAGGAGGAGGAACGAGGAGGAGGAGGAGGGGAAGCAGGAGGAGGAGGAGAAGGAGGAGGAGGAGGACGAGGAGGAGGAGGAGGAGGAAAGGAGGAGGACGACGAGGAGGAGGAGGAGGAGGAGGGGGGGGGGGAGGAGGAGGAGGAGGAGGAGGAGGAGGAGGGAGGAGGAGGAGGAGGAGGAGGAGGAGGACGGGGAAGAGGAGGATGATGATGATGAGGAGGAGGAGGAGGACGAGGAGGAGGAGCGGAGATGACGGGAGATGACGGCGAGAGGCACCCGACGGTGGCCCGACAGACGCTCGCGTTGCCCGAACGGGCGGCCTCAGATGGGCACCGGGTCGCCGATGACGACGACCTGCACGGCGCACGCCGCTTCGCTCGGCCCAGGATGGCCAGAGCGGCATCAGGCCGCGGCCGCGGTGGCCCGCCTGGACTGGGAGCACTCCCCCAGCGCTCCTCGCAGGCGGCGGGGACCTGGGCGCCAGCAGGCCGCCACCTCACCCGCGCGCCGCCTGCGGGCCAGCACGCCACCTCGAGGGCATGCCGACCGTTGGCCGATCAGACACCAGCCGACAATGCCGCGGCCAAACGCCCTCAGCACCTCACACCCGAAGAACGACTCGGAGGTGCCAAACACGACGAAGAGCACCTCCGACTGGCGCACTCCGCCACTCCAAGCGGCACGTTTTCAGGACATGGTCGAGACTCTGCCCCGACCCACGATTCAGCCAGCAACTCCCCGCCAAGCAATGGCCTCTCCGCTCTTCGGGTGACTGCCTGCCTCCAGCCTCCGAAGCCGCGACTTCAGGTTGGACAGGTAGGTCCTCGCATCGCGACCCTCGCCAGTGGGCAAGCCGCGGCACGGCTCCAGCAGCGCTCTCGACGTGCCGCTGCCCGACCAGGCCACACACACACACACACACACCTGGCAGAAGATGGTGGGGCCAGCCCTGCGCAAGCGGTGGCCCTGCACGTCCACCGCCGTGTCGCCCAGGGCCCAGAGCGTCGACGGGGCCTCGGCCAGGTCGCCTGGGTCCAGCAGCCCCCGGGATGCGTCCAGCGCAGCCATGGCGAACGAGCCACCTCGCTCACGCTGCATGGAGAGCACAGGAACTGCGCCCGCGACGGACCTCTGGTGGCCGCCGTGGATCTGCAGCACCGCCGACACAGCACGACCCTGCCGCCACGCAGAAGGACCAGCTAGTGCCGCACCACCGCCACGGGCGGCGCGCTCGGGGGCCCCTTGCAGGGGCGCGCTGCCGAGTCCGTCACCTGCCAGCTCGGGATCTTCAGCATGCGCTGCATGGCCCACGCGATGTAGGCCGCGACCTGCTGGTGGCACTCGACCTCGACCCCGTGGGAGTCAGCGCAGCCCTGCGAGACCGCGTGGGCCCTGGCCCCTTCCTGCGCGAAAAAATGTCCGCACGCAGCTTCCCCCGGGAAGACGAGGAGGGTGCGGCCCGCGCTCCCGGCACTGCTCGAGCGCAGTGCGCGCGGGAATCCAGCGCACCGCCGGCCGCGCAAGCTGCGCGCGTAGGGCGCGCCGCCAGACCATGGCGTCAAAACCAAGACGTAGCATAGCCTTGGCTTCTTAGCCCGTCTTGGAAGGTCAGGGAGGGTACCCTCCCCGAGCTGGCCTCGACCTCAACTGCTCGAGCGCCGCGCCCCAAGAGGCCGCCTCCCCGGCGAGCCCCGGCAGGTCCGTGACGACGCCGTCGACGGCAGGCCCGCCGAGCTAGGGCGAGAGGACCAGCAGCGCCTGCAGCAGGGCGTGCCTCTCCGCGCGCCCTACCGTCTGGATGGGGGCCCGGCAGCGGCCCGCGCGCGGCGCGCACAGGCAGGCCCTGCGTCGAGACCTGCACGGCTGCCCAGCCGCACCTCCGCAGCCCGGGCATCGACGAAGTCCGAGCCGTCCGTGAAGACGACGTTGCCCACGCGCGTCATGTCAGGGGCGGCGCTCCAGTCGCCCCAGTAATAACCCTTCGGGGTGCGCTCCGCAGGCGGCACGCTCGGTGGTACGCATGGGAGGCAGGTCGACAGCGCGAACTCGTCCCACGCCTGAGGCCCTGGTCGCGCATGGAGGCCCAGACCACGTTGCGCCTCTTGCACCTCGCCCTTCTCCTCGCCCAGGAACGCTGGCTCCAGGAGCGTCTCGCACCCGAAGAAGCGGTGCCCAGGAGTGTCCGACTCCGCCCCGCATGCGGCGCATTCGGACGAGGCGGCCAGCTTCGCGTCGAATTGCGCCTGCCTGGTCCAAGGCGCCCCTGCCCAGTGGACGCGCAGGCCCAGGGCCACTGGACCTGGAGGAGGAGGAGGAAGAAGAGGATGAGGAACAGGAGGAGGAGGACGAGGAGAACGAGGAAGAACAGAAGGAGGAGCAGGAGGAGGAGGAGGAGGATAATAACGAAGAGGAGAGGAAGGACGAGGAGGAGGACGAGGAGGAGGGAGGCGGAGGCGGAGGAGGAGGAGGAGGAGGCGGAGGAGGAGAGGGCGGAGGAGGAGGAAGAGGAGGAGGAGGAGGAGGAGGAGGAGGAGGAGGAGGAGGGAGGGAGGAGGAGGAGGAGGAGGAAGAGGAGGAGAGGAGGAGGTGGAGGAAGAGGAGGAGGAGGGGAGGAGGAGGAGGAGGAGGGGAGGAAAGAGGAGGGGAGGGAGGAGGAGAGAGGAGGAGGAGGAGGAGGAGGAGGAGGAGGAGGAGGAGGAGGGGGGGGGGGGAACGGGAAGGAGGAGGGGGAGGAGGAGGAGGACGAGGAACAGGAGGAGGAGGAGGAGGACGACGAGGGCGAGGAGGAGGAAGAGGAAAAGGAGGAGGAGAAGGAGGAAAAGGGAGGGGAGAGAAGCAGGAGGAGGAAGAGGACGAGGAGGAGGAGAGTGTGGATGATGCTCGCGATGACGATGATGATGCTGATGCTGCTGACGATGCTGATGACGAAGGGAAGGAGGGGGGAGAGGAGGAGGAGGAGGAGGAGGAGGAGGAGGTTGAAAAGGAGGAGGGGGACGAGGAGGAAGAGGAGGAGGACAAAAGGGGGGGGAGGAGGAGGAGGAGGAGAAGGAGGAGGAGGAGGAGGAAAAGGAGGAAGAGGAGGATGAGGAGGCCCGTAGCCAGTTAGGCTGGTGTGGCCACATCGGGACGCCCCCCGCCTCGAGGTGGTCCAATGAACATGAGCGGGGCAGCGAAGCCCTGGAGAACCCGGGACAAGGGTCTCCGATTTCACATCCGCGCACGAGCGCACGCAGATCCGTTCGCAGTTGGTGTTCCGCCATTGGGCGGCACCAGGAAACAAGTGCAACCAGTATTCCTCTTCGGCAATGGATCGGCGCGAAAGGCCGTGGAGGCGTGGCGATGCGCGGACGGCAGGCAGTGGGTAAGGTAATCAAGGTGGACAGGGGCGCGGCCGCAAAGAAGGTCAGCGCGATCGAGCTCCTCCCAAGCGGGCCACCTCCCGTGGGCAGCGAGAAGATGCGCAGGAGCCAGTCTCGCTGGGACTGCGCCCTACGCAGGTGCACGAAGAACCTCGACGCGCGCATATACTGCAAGCGCTGCCTCGAATGGAAGACCATCGAGGCGCCCACGAAGGTCGCCGCGCTGGCTCTTCCCGCTCGTCCTGGGGGCCAGGGTCAGCAAGGTTCTCGAGGCGCGGCGCGGCGAGCGCTGTCCGCCCAGGGGGGGGGGGGGGACTGCACCTCCGCCCGCGTCGCTCGTCGGGCCCAGCGGCAAGGCTCGCGGGGCAGGGCCCTCCATCGCAGAGGTCGAGACATTCATCGGCATTACCGAGCGGATGGGGAAACGGCCGACAGCGGACAAGTGCAAGCTTCAGATCGAGGAGCTGCGAAGAGGCCCAGCATTCATTGTCCAAGAGCGCGCCCAGAGAGGCCATGACCGCATCCAGCAGCTGGAGGACATGCTGGGCAGCGAGGTGGACGAGGTGGACCAGTGTCAGACCTGGGTGGCGATCCAGTCCGCCTGCGCGCGGAAGTCCGAGTCCACGTCGCACGAGGCCGACGCCGAGCGTGCGAAGATTGTCTCGCAGCTGGCGCGCACGGTGGCAAGGGAGGAGGCACCGAAGCAGGCCGGGGCCCCCAAGGTGCCCCCCGCAGAGGTGGTCGACGGTAGCAGGGGCGTGGCCAGTCTCATTGACCTCGAAAGTT